CTTTAAGTGAGGTAGAAATTGGCATTAGGATTGAAATTCTACATGGAATATGATTTCTGAAGCATCTCCTGGGGTACTAATTATGTGGAATCTCTGAGGCAAGATTGTGAAAACATCAACAAGTTGTCACGTGTACTTCGATTTCTTATTAGTTTCTTTATTTTCTTTTCTTTACTTTTGTTTTGCTCGAGGACTAGCAAAATCTCAAGTTTGGGGGTATTTGATACATTAGATTTATGCTTATCTTTTGATACATCTAATTGAGTGTTTGTTGGTTTTAGAGTAGCTTTAGTAGTTACTTTACGTAATTTTAGTTGGTTTTGCAGATTGGTATCATTTAGAGTTCGTAGGTGCGTGTCGGAGTAATTTTTGGAGCTAAATTGATATTGGAAGGCCTTGGCCTTTAAAGATGGCGCCTAGGCCTTCAAATGGTTCATTTGTGGTATAAAAACCTGAGAGAAAAAAGCCTAGGCTTTTTCGCCTAGGGCCGCAGCTCTGCTTCGAAGCATCACGTGTATAGGCTATTTTTTAGGAAAGGGCCGCGGTGCCCAAATAGTAGGGCTGCGGCGCTACTTCAAAATTTTGCCAATTTGAGTGATGTGGAGTTCCAGAAATTTACGACAATGCCAATATAATTCAAAACTCTATAAATAGGATTTTTAGGATTATTTTCCACATCTTTTTGGCTAAGAAAAGAAGGAGAGAAGTAGGCTCTACGAAGGAGAAGAGGATTCATTTGACAACGGAGTTCAACTTCGAATTCGTCAAACAGTTTTACTCTTTCCTAAATTTCTTATGTTAAATTTTATTGTCATTATGTTTTCTTTTTCAATGATGATCTAAATTTCTAAACTAGGGCTACAAGTTTAGCCAAGATATGAATATTTAATTTCCGTTATTTTCTTTCAATGAAGTTTATTCACTAAGAGTTTTCCATTCACGTATGTGTTTCTTTTATTGTTCTTAATGCTTTCATTAAATTGATCACTTATTGAATTGAATTGAAAACCTAAATTGAAACCTGAGAAGGAGATTTTTAGGAATAGTTTCTAAAAAAGGAACCGTAAGGTGCGTAGGACATCGAGAGATAGATTACGTGTTGCGAGAGCAATTTTGGAAAAACTAAAGAACTTAATGAATTTCTAAGATGGCGGGATTTACATCTAGTGATAGTAAATTTACATATTAGAAAGATTTTTAATAGCATCCCCAGAAGGACTATTAGAAAAATTAGGATTTTTTGTTCTACTACATGAATGGGAGGCGATGTTTGTGAATAATTGGAATTAAATTGGAACTCTCTTGGTGAAACTTGTATGCTCTAGTGTTTTCCTTGCATTGATCTCTTCTCATAATTATTTTGCATATAATTTGTGTTATTTTATTTTGCTTGTTTTTCTGTTTTAATCTATCTCAGAGATTTTATTTGTCTAGATAAAGTAAAAATATAAATTTCAGTAATTATTAAGCTAGTCTTCGTGAGAACGATATGTTATTCTCTCATTATATTACTTTTACGATTCGTACGCTTGTGACAAATCACATCAATCTCTAAGATAAAGCTTGTTAATTATCTCCCACTTCATGTTTGATTTTGAAACAAATCCATTTCTCCCTTATCTTAATTGGCTGGCCACCATAGGGAAACTCCTCCCTGTGGTAGGCGCAATTTTGTAGATAAAAAATAGGGCAAAATTTTATTATGGAGTATAATTTTAACTTAAATTCAAATTCGAATTGAAGTCAAACTTAAATCAATTTGAATTTCAAATTGGACAACTTATCAAATAAGTTAATTGGATAAACATGGAGAGCAAGCAATTTAAATCCCAAAGGGATTCACACTGTGTTGTGCGTTCACAGCATGTGAACACCTTCACATGTGTGTTTCAAAATTCAAATTTAAAGTTGAACTTAAATAATCACATTATTTAATTTATAATTAATTCTCAATTAATTATGCTTAAGCATTTTATTTTAGAATTCTATAATTCTAAAATTCTCATTTTGCCCTTAGTGTCTTGTAGAATTACAAGAACACCACGGGTACTAATGGACTTATAATTCTAAGCTCCAATAAAATTAATAATTAATTAAACTCTTTAATTAATTTTTTTATTCTATTAATTTCAAAAGTTACTCCAATATAAACTTGGAATTGCACTCTCGTAATTATAGATATAAATTACGTCTAAATTGTGAAGTGTCCATTTGATATAGTCATTGCATATAGATCAATCCTCCATAAATACTTCATAATTGAGCTAGATGAAATCCGTTAACCTCTCTAATTACATCTTTATTCTTGAGTACCATTGATTCTCTAATGGATAGTGACTCATAAAATAAATTCATGAACTAGAGCGCTCCTACTAATCTAAGTACCGAATCAACACTGCAAGGGAATTATTTATCTACTTCTTTCTCAAGAATGAATATATTTCATCTCGTATAATAAGATTACCGGCTACTCACTTCATCATGTCTCCAAAATACTACCAAGTAAATCAAAGGACACAAATCTATAAATAGGAGTCTGTTAAGAACTCAGGATTAAGATCATCCTATATATGACCATCGGTAGACTCAATTAGAATTTCTATACTTAACGAAAATTATCATAAATTCATATTGTGTCTGTGACTTCGTTTTACATAATCTCATTATGCGTAATACACTCATTTAATATTTTACCATATTAACAGTGCGGATAACATTGTTCCATTCTAAATGGGAATGACATGTATTAGTAATGTTTTAATTAAAAATTCTAAATTTTAATTAAATTCATTACGAATAATGTTTTGATTATTATCCTTAAATATTATCATCTAGCATATACCACTTATATACAATATTTAAGGTCACATAAATAATTATGGAATTTTCACTGATATTCATAAAATATTCATTAATATATGCACAAAAAATAATGAATAAACTCTTTTATTAAATAAATAATAAATATCTTATTACATCTCATACTTTTAGGACACCATTTTCAACATATTCTTGTATCATAATCAATGACAAGCGAGATCGAGAACAATCTATACAATAATGTCATAAAATAAAAGATATATCTTATATTCTTAGGCCTCGTTTGGCTGGCTGAATTGGATAGGAATATGAAGTTCATATTAGTATATAAATAATATATTAATATTCGATTTACTATTTAAATAATTAACTTTTAGTTACATAATTAAATAATTAGTAATTAGTTACTATAATCTATTATTTGATATATTACATGATTAATTTTTGATAATTATTCTTTAAATAATGATGAATTGTTAATCATCAATTATTAATTACTATTGATTAGTATATTATAATTTATTATATAAGTTAATATTGACTATTAATTGAGTAATTACTATTTTTTTATTTATCAACTATTTTTTAATTAATGGATTATAATTAATATACATGATTGATATATTAATTATTAGTTACTTATTTGTAATAACTTATTAATTATTCTATTATTAATTTATTATATAATCAATTTTTGGTAATTAATCTTTAACTAGATAATTAATTAATATTTTTATTCATCATTTTTATTAGTAAAATTACAAATTTAATATTAATAATTTAATATTAATTAATAATTAAGTAATTACTATCTATTTATTAGTTATAGTCATATCTATTTATTAATTAATAATTAAATAATTTAATGTAACATTGTTTGTAAGTACTAGAAAATAAAAACAGATAAGGAAAACAACTTCTAATTGTTTTCTAACTTTCTTCACAAAAATTATTTTTATATTATTCATCAATCTTCTTACCTTTATTGTATTAAAAAATAGTACAGTTCTATATGCTTCTATAAAAGTTAAAGATAAATAAAATGTCTGGCTACTTTATATGCTTATTAATATTGCCTTTCTTTTTTTTTTTTTCCTCAGATATAATTGTTAGTGCTCCTTTATAATTAAAAGTTGAACGTATTGGTGTAATCCATTAGCAAAGTGATCTCTAATGTTATAAGAAAAGTTTGAATTATAAGAAAACCCAAGGAATTATCATAAGAAACTAACAAACAGGAAAAAAAAAGAGAGAAATTCTAAAAAACTAAAATATCAGAAATACATATTTAGGAGACGTTTGGTAAGGGGATTCATACCATGATTTAAATCATGATTCATAGTTCTCTACAATGTTTTTTCTCATAAAAAATACACGTAAATCAAAAATGGTTCTAATATCATGATTCTAATCTATGAACCAAATGTCTTCTTAGTATTTGTTGACTTTTCAAGAAATATGGTTTTTTTTTTAATTTTTTGTTTCAATTGAAATTTCCATTGAAATTTTCAAAGAATTTGATGAAAAAAATTTAAGATTTACAAAAATGGAAAAGTGTTAATAAAGATGTGGGGTATTTTTTTCGTTCCTTTGAAAAATACTTTCAAATGTTAATGTGGGTGTATGATTTTTTTATTTCTTTGGAAAGAATAGTATTTGAATGGACATAATTATTGAGAGTACATATTAATGGGCTTCAATATAATTTCAATGCAGGGTAAAAATATCATAAACATAGATTATGTTTGGTGAGGACATTCATAAATTTTGTGGGTGTAAAAATAATTACTCATGTTATAAATTAGTCTAGATAATAATCGGATTAAGACGATTAAGATTAATAATCTGAATTGATACGATTGAATATGTACATTATTCAAAACTTATTATATGTGATATAATATAAAAGATACATTATTAAGTATTTTAAAATATAATATAATGACATAACATGACATTCTTTAATTTTTTTTTTCTTTTACAGTTAATTCAAGTCTCGATTGTCCCCGAATCCTTCACGATCAAACTCAAGCTGGACCGTGAGTCCGGTGCAGTAGCTAAAGGTCCAATTGAATCACAATTACAGGCCGCTTCAAACCCATCTAGGCCCAACTTAGAACTTCTCCTTAAACCAACTCCTCCCTCCACACGTACGCGCTTCTCACCGTCTTTCTGCTCCTCTCCCTCTAAACTCCGAACCATGGACTGCTTCACTGAAACGATCCCACCTTCTTCTCCGTCACTGTCAGAAATCCAATGGGGAAACCAGGTTTCGGACACGGTTTTCTCTCTCTACAACTCGCTTCCCAAGAAAGGGAAGCCTCAGGGTCGCGAAGTCACCGTCTTGGCCGCATTTCTCCTTTCCTCTCCTCGTCGAGGTTCTTTTTCCCTCAAATTCTCTTAGCATTCTACTTTCCCACTCTTTCTCGGGAAACTAATTCACTGACTTTTTCACTCCTCTTAATGCAGATTTGGATGTTGTTGCTATTGGAACCGGGACGAAATGCATCGGCCGATCGCAATTGAGCCCCTACGGCGATGTCGTCAACGACTCGCACGCCGAAATCGTCGCGCGAAGATCTTTGTTGAGGTTTCCTGCTTTCTTTGCTGTATTTGAATTCTTTTCGTGTTTGATTATACTCGTAGCTTCGTATATCCTCTTAATGCAGATTTGGATGTTGTTGCTATTGGAACCGGGACGAAATGCATCGGCCGATCGCAATTGAGCCCCTACGGCGATGTCGTCAACGACTCGCACGCCGAAATCGTCGCGCGAAGATCTTTGTTGAGGTTTCCTGCTTTCTTTGCTGTATTTGAATTCTTTTCGTGTTTGATTATACTCGTAGCTTCGTATACAAATGTGGATTGTGGTATCTCTATTATATCAAAATTTGAGTTTAATACTTTTTTTTTATTTTTTATTTTTTATTTTATGTTGATATCTCGAGTTTTTTCAAAATAATTTTTTTACGTCAGAGCCATTTTTTTGACGAAAAAATAAAATTATCCTTATTCATCTATTGACTAAAATTTTAAAAATTGTTATACACATAATTCTTTTTTAAAAATTCATCCCTTTAAAAAATTTTTTTTCTTTAAAATTTTAGTCAATAGATGAATTTTTATAATAAAAATATTTTTATTTTTTTATGTCTTAAAAAATGATTTTAAAAAAAAATCAAGGTGCCGTCATAAAATTTTGAAAAATAAAGGTATTAAACTTATTTCAATATAACAAAATGAAATTTTCCC